GAGGCATGGAACCCCAGGCCATTGCATAGGATTCTTAGAAGAGGTTGGGCAACACGAGATTTTCTCATGATCTAAAATTACCTATAGTTTAAGCAAGCGTGTGAGTAGAAAGGTCATGTGTGCTTTATTAACAACCCATGGGAAAACACACAAAATGATCTAGAACCTTATAATCTGGCTAAATTCATTACAGGAATCAGGGAAAAATAGTGCTGGATCACTTTCCCGGCAGTCACTTTTTTTTTTTTTTTGAAGTAGAAAGATGTTTATTCAATAACAAAGACCAGTACATAATGTATCTGTCACATAGTATTTCATATATTTCCAATTTTTTTTTAAATTTATTTATTATTATTAAACTTCAAGTTGTAGGGTACATGTGCACAACGTGCAGGTTTGCTACATATGTATACTTGTGCCATGTTGGTGTGCTGCACCCATCAATTCGTCATTTACATAAGGTATAACTCCCAATGCAATCCCTCTCCCCTCCCCCCGCCATGATAGGCCCCGGTGTGTGATGTTCCCCTTCCCGAGTCCAAGTGATCTCATTGTTCAGTTCCCGCCTATGAGTGAGAACATGCGGTGTTTGGTTTTCTGTTCTTGTGATAGTTTGCTGAGAATGATGGTTTCCAGCTGCATCCATGTCCCTACAAAGTACACAAACTCATCCTTTTTTATGGCTGCATAGTATTCCATGGTGTATATGTGCCACATTTTCTTAATCCAGTCTGTCACTGATGGACATTTGGGTTGATTCCAAGTCAACCCGGCAGTCACTTTTTAAGGAGAATACAGCTCAATGGCTTAGCTCTCTTCAGAGTGAGATGAGGTTTTGGTTGCAAATCTGGTTTTCTCCAAAGCTCCAAAACCAAGGTAGATTTAGGGACGCTGGAATAATATGCCGGCTGTAAGGTTTCTAAAGATTCTGGGAGCAATCACTGCGATGAAATTTTCATAGAAGAATCACATGAGCTCTACAACAAAGAGCTCAAAGAAGAGTCTAATAACAAGGGAGTGTTGACCACAATTCAGTATTTACAACTTAGTTCAGCTGTGCTGGCTTGCCTATTTACTCAACAACTGTTTACTGAGAACCGACTTTGTTTTAGGCATTAAAGCTAAACCTGGGGATAACAAGACAGACAAGGTGTCTGTTCTCATGGAGCTTAGAGGAGGGAGACAGGAAACAAACCACAAAATGAGTTTGATACCTTTGGATGGTAATACGTACTGTGAAGAAAACGAAACATGAATCATGTGGAAAGATGGTCAGGGCAGGCCTCATTGGGAAGGTGACATTTGATGTGAGACCTGAATGACACAAAAAGCCATCTCGCTGAAGATCTGGGGCGAAGGCGTCACAAGTGCAAAGGCCCTGGGGCATATTCTAGAACTAGAAAAGTTGATATGATGAGAACACAGAGAGGCAGGAAGAGAAGGAGTTTGGTGAAGTGAGGAGTTGGGATTGTGTTTCAAGGGTAACGTAAGCCGTTAGAGGTTGTAAGCAGGGGAGTAACACACTCAGATTTAATTTTTTCAGGAACATTCTGCTAATTCTTCAGTTGTGGGGTGAGTTCACAAGTGTTATTTTATTATGCTTTGCAAACTATAAAATATAATGTATGTAATGTTAATAACATAGAATATTTTATAATTTAAAAGATCCTCTGTCTTCTGTGTAGGGAATAGTTTATAGAGGTATAAGAGAGATGATATCTGCAGGAGAAGTCAGGTAGAGAAACTACGGAGGGCTTGGACTCGGATGGTAGCAATGGGGATGGAGAGAAACAGACAGGTTCACAAGGTGTTTTGTAGATAAAATCATAGGACTTGCTGATGAGCTAGACGTGGAGAAATAATGAAAAAATGAGAAGAACCAAAGATGACTCATTTTTGGCTTCAGCAACTTAGTGGATGGTGAAAGTATTTACTAAGATGAGGAAGACTGAGGTGGAAAGAAATTAGGGATCATGTTTGGTGGAAAAAATAAGAGTTCTTATTTTGACCATGTTAAGTTTGAGATCCCTATCATTCTTTCAGATGATATTTAAACTGAATGTGCAATACCAGGTTGACAATTATTTTCTCCCAGCTCATTGAAGCTATTTTTCTACAGTCTTCTGGCTTCTCTTGTTGCTTTTTAAGAAGCCAGTATAATTGTAATTTCTTTGTAGATTGTGCACATTTTTTCTGTGGCTGCCTTTTTTTTTTTTTTCTTTTTTTTTGGTCTGAGATGGAGTTTTGCTCTTGTTGCCCAGGTTGGAGAGCAGGGGTGCGATCTTGGCTCACTGCTGCCTCCACCTTCCGGTTTCAAGCGATTCCCCTGCCTCAGCCTCCCGAGTAGCTGGGATTACAGGTGCCCGCCACCAAGCCTGGCTAATTTTTGTATTTTTAATAGAGATGGGGTTTCATCATGTTGGCCAGGCTGGTCTCCAACTCTTGACCTCATGATCCACCCACCTCAGCCTCCCAAAGTACTGGGATTACGGGGGTGAGCCACTGCGCCCAGCCCTATGGCTGCTTTTATGACTTTTATGATCATGTGTGTCTCTTTGGTGGTCTGCAGTTTCACTGTGATGCATCCAGTGTGGATTTATTTATTTTTATCCTACTTCAGACCTGTGACCTTGGAATCAGATTTTACATCTTTCATCACTTTTAGAAAATTCTCCTTAACTTGCTCTTCAGATATTCTTCTTTTCTGTTTTCTCCCTCTCAACATATGTGGGACCTTTTTATTCTACCCTCCATATTTCTTAACCCCTCTTTCCTATTTTTCGTCTTTTTATCTCTCAGTGCTAATTTTGAAGTAATTTCCTTTTATTTATCTTCCAGTTCAAAATTGGCTCTTCAACTGTACTTAATCCATTGTTTAAATTCATTAAAGAGTTTTTCATCTTAATGATTATGTTTTTAATTTCTGGAAGTTCTAGCTGAGTATTTTTCAAATCTATTCTTTTTATTAGAGGTAGAGATTTAGCCATTTGTTTCCGTTTCATTTCCTTTCATTATACTCTTAATAATTTAAAATACATTTATTTTGAAGTCTTCTAGACTCTCAGGCCAAGAAAGCTTTGTCATCTTCCTTTGTGTATTTCTCTAGCCCCCCTTTTCACAAAGGATGCCATTCTTTGAACATTATCAGGTTTGCCCACAAAACGTTCACCATTCTATCTTATTTGGGCCACTACCTTCTAGCCTGTCCTCACACAGATATGAAAACTGAAGGCCCCGATTACCAGAAACCAGGTCAGCAGTGAGAGTGTAAACTGTGAAGCCTTAGGGAAGGCCCAGGACCAACCTGGGTACTCCTGCATTTAGAGGCCAGGCTGGGGGAGGAGAGGGGGCAAAGAAGCCAGGAAGCAACGGTAAGTAGGGGAAAAAGAAAACCAAGAGAATATGGTGTCGCAGAAACAGAGAGAAAGGAGTGGATCAAGAAAGAGACAGTGGCTCACTGTGCCAACGGCTAACTGTGCCAAGATGTCAAATAAAATGAGGACGGAGAAGTGATGACGGCACGTGGCAGGAACAGGAGAGGAAGAAGTGGAGGCAGTGATTACAAGCAGTTCTTTTGGGCCTATCTCTCAAGGTGAGGGGAGAGAAATATAGTAAGGGAGATAAGAGATTGGGATCAATGGGGAGTTTAAAGACATAGCAGGTGCCATGTACTAGAGCACTTTATACATTATTCCCAATCGTCCAAGCACACAGAGTCCTACAGTGCAGGAGACAGAGGCTGGTGGGCTTCCTGCAGGTGCGGGTCCTTAAGGAGGTGGTGGAAGGGGCTCTCTGACAGAAGCCAGGATATGCCCACCGTACAGGAGGATGGAGGGCAGAGGAAACGCATCACGGTGGACAGACAGGAGGTGGGGAAACAGAGATTCCAGTCAACAGATGTGGGTTCAGGTCAACAGCAGAGAGCAAGGATGGGCGGCGGTCTCAGAGTGTGGGGAAAGAGCAGGGCTGGCATAGGAACATGTCACGTGGGCAGCGACAGCAAGAACTTCAAGTTCTCTGTGCTTCCTTCACGTTGCCAGGTGTTGGAGAAGCATTGCTGTGTGTGGTCCAGTGGCTTTTCTGAGGAATCCTGACTGTGGGCACTCGAAGGCCTGTTACCATCCAGAAAGTCTCCTGCCTGTGACACCAGAACCAAGACTGGTGCCTGTGCTGGGGACGAGGCCGTGGCTGTTCTCTCTTGCCAGCTCGGCCCTCTGAGGAAACAGTTACTGTGGTTTCAAGTCCTGGGATCCCACACCCTTAACCATGACTACCACCCACTTCTGACCAAGTCGGTGAATCTAAGATGTAATGGGAAGAAATTTACTTTCCCACAAACTAAACATAAAAGCATTCATTTAAAAAGGCATCCCTTGATTACATTAAATGGGATTACATTAATTGTTTTAAATGGGTCTGTATATACAGTAAAACCTATGTGGGTTTTTTGAAGAAATGCTTCACTGAGATATGATTCACGTACCGTACAATTCACCTTCTCAAAGTCTGCAGTGTAGTTCTTAGGATATTTGCGGAATTGTGCAACCGCAACCACAACCGATTTTAAAGCATTTTTCTCACTTCACAAAGAAAGTTCCTAACTGAGCAGCCACTTCCCATTCTCCCCGCAGCCCCCACCGACTTACTTTCTGTCTCAATGGCTGTGCCTATTCTGCACATTTCACAGAAATGGAATCACACATTATTTGTCCTCCTGTGACTGGCTTCTTTTCACTTACCATCATGTTTCCAAGCCTCACCCATACTGTATCGAGCATGACTATTTCGTCCCTTTCTATGGCTAAATAACACTCCATTGTACAAGGATGCCATGCTGTGTGTGTTTATTCATCAGGTGAGGGGCATTTGTGTTGCTTCTACTTTTAGCTAACAGAGGTTTTAGAAATACTGTAAAATAGAGTTCCTCGCCCCACTGCTCCAGCAGTAAAAGCAGCCCAGACTGGCTGGTTAAAACCTGTGCTGTTGACTTGTGCTGACAGGAGCCTGCTCCTCCCCGAGGCCCAGCCCCAGCAACACCTGCTGAGCAACGAGATTCCATGAACACTACACGCGGACCTGAGTTGGAACCTGGCCTCTCTTGACACGGTGATCAATTTGACGTTAAAATTTGGCCCAAGAAACTGACAATCAAAGGTGATAAGCCACAGTCTAGCTTCGGTTAGATCCGCTTTTTTTTTTTTTTTTTTTTTTTTTAAAGTCATGACTCGGTGTTGCCTCGTTGCGCAACAATTTTCTAAATCGCTAAATTGACCTTCATTGTATGATCAGATAGTGACATGAAAAACATTGATCTTAGTCACAGGTTACAGCTGCATCTTGGAACCATCCTAACACCAGCTGCAGGAAGCAAAACTTATTATGTGACAGGAGTGTAGGCCAATCTTCCCCCAGAGGCACGATGCATCATGGGTGGAGCCCAGACCCCTGGTGTTCTAGGCCTTCCCCGTGGACCCTGAGGGCATTCACGCTCCCATTTCTCCTGACTGCCTCCTGCTATTCAGGGACCAGGCAGAGACGACAGATGGAAAGCAGACAGTGCCTGGAGATCAGCAGCCCTAGGCCCTGACTTTCCCAAACCCTCAGCGTTGTAAAGGTAAGGCCACCACCAGGGTCAAGCCTCCTTCCGTCAGGAAAAGAAAAACAGAAGGAATTGTGTTCTCTGGAGGGCAGGGCTCTGAGTACAGAGTCTCATGTTTTCAAAGTCGGAAAGTGTCCACAGTTAATATTTGGATGGGCCCACAGTGCCCGTCTTGCTCGCTGGAGCCCAGGCCTGTCCCATCACAGACAAAGGGCTCTTGCTGTGCACCTGTGGAGAGGGGAGCTTGGCTGGGAGAAGGCACGGTCAGCGTCTTTGTGTCTTTTTGTTTGAAGTAGAGTTTTGCAAAGGGAGTGGTTCTGGAAGAAAAGCAGAGCGTGGAGTGTCAGAGGCTGGTGTGTTGTGAAATGCGTAAGCCCTGGAGACCCTCTGTAACTGGCCTTCACGTACGCCTGCCGCCAACGACAACACGGAACCTCGGAAGCTGGGTGTTTGCCAGCTCACGAGACGGGGAGACATGAAGCTTCCACCAGCACAGGAGGTGGAGGGGAAACAGAAAGAAAGAACTGAGTCTAGCAGCCTCCTTGCACATTTCTTCCAACGCCTCCAGCCCAGCACAACAAACAACCTCGGGGGCATCAGGCCTGTGCCGCGTCCTGGCACACCCAACTCTGCCCTGCTCCAAGAGCCCACAGAGGGCCTCGGGGTCACACTCAAGGAGCGTGCTTGGAATCCAAAGTGCATGCTATGCTGTGGTGGGGATATGGACAAGGACAGAAAGAGCACCCAGCAAGGGAGGATGAACAGGGTGAGAGGTGTGAGGGAACTGCCCAAGCACTGACACCTGGGTAGATTTTTAAGTGGCAAGAAACCACATAGACCACATGGTGGCCAGGGAGAGGGTTGGGAGGTGAGGGGCTCACGGTAGAGGGCTCTCCAAGAGAGGAAATGGCACGGGCAACGGCTGAAGCATGCAACGGTGTGGTGTGTGTGTAAACAGGAATGTGTGTGAGCAAGTGTGTGAACATGTGTGAGCATTTGTGTGTGAGAGCATGGGTGTGAACACATGAATGTGTGAGCATGTGTGACCACAAGTGTGTGAGTGTGAGAGCCTGTACGAATGTGGACATGAGTGTGTAAACATGTGTGACATGAGTGTGTGAGCATGAGTGTGCACATGTATGACCATGAGTGTATGTGCATGTGTATGAGCACGAATGTGTGTGCATGTGTGTAGCATGTGTGTGAGCATGAACATGTGAGTGTGTGAGCATGGATGCATGAGTATAAGAGTGCCTGAGCATGAATATGAGTAGGTGAGCATGTGTGAGCATGACTGACCATGTGTGAGCATGACTGTGTGTGCAAATGTGTGCAAGCATGAGTGTGTGTGCATGTGAGCATTGAGTATGTGAGCATGTGTGTGAGCACATGTGTGCACATTAGTGAGCATGTGAGTGTGTAAGCATGAATGTGTGTGCATGTGTGAACATCAGTGTGTGAGCATGTGTGTGAGCATGAGTGACTGTGTGTGCATGAATGAGCATGAGTGTGTATATAAGTGTGAGCTTGAGTGCATGAGAATGTGTGCATGTGCGAGCATGAGTGTGCGAACATGAGTGTGTGCACGTGTGAGCATGAGTGTGAGCATGTGAATGTGTGTGCATGTGTGAGCTGAGTATATCATTGAGTGTGTGTATGAGCATGCGTGTGTTTAGTGATATATTTGTGATTATACAAGTGATTTGGTGATCTTTGAAGTCCAATAGACAGTTTAACACTTCCCCTATCAGCACATTGCACTTTATTAAAATTAGTTTGTACTGTCAGTCTTCCCACTAGATTATAAAAAGTCATGTCTACCTTGGTCAACCTTAAGAAGACTTGAACGGTGGACATATTCCGCCTTCCTAGGTGAAAAAGTTTGATTTTGCAAAGAGAAACTTTCCCAGTTAACCTATACATTTTTAATGTGGTTCCAATAAAAAGTCCAATGGGATGATTTTGTAATGTGATCCTAGATTTAAATTGTAACTGCACTAGTAAATATAAGAATATTCAAGCCGATATTTTAATGAAGAATACTATTTTATGACGTACAGCTGCCGTAATGAAACACAGGACGCACGACAGATCACAATATGAAATTCAGAAACAAATTTAGGTACGTATCATAATTTAGTTATTATAACGACATTTAAACACCAAATACATGGTGGCAAAATAGTTCACTAATCATTTGGAACACAGCCCGGGCGGACGCCTCTGCTGCGTCCCCACCGTCAGGCGACAGAACACGCAGGGAGTCACCGGGGCTGCCCCACTAGTTCTCCCACTGATCCTGAAGCTGGCTGAGAGCAGAGACCAGCTAGTGTTCAACTCCCTGTCCCCATCGTTCCATATGCCCTTCCACAGAGGATGCGCTAAATTCTCGCCGAAGGAATAAATGACATTTTAACCTCTTCATGGCATCGTTTGGGCCCGGGAGGCACACAGCTCTTAGCTGCCCTTTATGGCAGGTCACAAGTAATGCACGTCTGAGCTGAGAAGTCGACGTCCCACTTCTCCTTCGTTTTCTTGGCCATCCCTGAAGCCCTGCTAGGTCTATGCTAGAATCCTAATGAAACTTTTGCTTTTGCTCACCCAATAAGCACAAATAATAATAATGTAAATATTTACAACCTATAAAGTGTCCACATTTTCCTGGACCTTATGGATATATTATAGAAGCATATGTATAATATAGTCTTAGTGGAGATTTTGAATAGAAGAGGTAGAGAAAATAAGAATTTGCCTAGTAATTTACATCGTTATTTTTTTCTTATGTGACCAGTGAGCAAACTAAGCCTGATTGATAAAGATGAGATGAGGTGACAGATCTCATGGTTGTAAATGAAAACACTGTGATTCAAACTCAAGTGACTGAAGTAAGTTTCTTTTTCAGCTGAAGCACTGCTGCTAGAAAAAATCAGCCATTACTGATCCACGTCTTAGTCTGTTTGGGCTGCTATAACGAGAATGCCTTAGACTGGGTAATTTCTAAGGAAGAGAAATTTATTTCCCACAGTTCTGGAGGCTGGGAAGTCTAACATCAAGGTGCTCGCAGGTTGGTGTTTAGTGAGGGCTGCTCTCTCCTTCCAGTACGGCACCTACTTTCTCACTGTGTCCTCGCATGGCAGAAGAAATGGAAGAGTAAACTCACTTCCTCAAGCCCTTTTGAAAGGGAGTTAAACTCATCTGTGGGGCAGAGCCCTATGACCTAATTACCTTCCAGAAGCTTCACCTCTTCATACCATAACTTTTGGGTTTACGAAATTTGAATTTGAAATACGAATTTTGGAGGGATACCAACTTCCAGGCTGTAATGACCCATGTCAACAAAGGAGTGACAGTGTATTTGAAATAATGTAATTATTACTTTCGGCAGCCATTAGCCCCAATACTTACTACAAATGCGATTAGAAGTTTGAAACCTCTGGCATTTGGTCTTGCTTTATGTAAGTTTTCTACATGACAATATTTGAGAAAAATAAGATACCTTCTGTCTCTCATAAAACACATTTTATATGAGTTTAAGAAATCAACCACACATAGCTGAGAAAAGACTAACATTACTAAAATGTTTAAATGATTTGTTTTTTTGTAATTACGTAAGTAATATATCTTCAGTTTAGAAAATATTAAAAAGATAAAGATAAGAAAAGATAACAATAAGTCTCACATAATCCTGCCACCAGTGATAATTGCAGGCAACATTCTGGTACATGTGGAACGAATATATGTTGAATGAAAAAATGAGTTTTCTTCCGGTCTTTGTTCTAAGTGTGTATGTGTATGCTGTTTACACACTGAACTCATATCATGTTAAGTTCTCAGGCTTTTCTTTTTCTGTGTAACATCTCTCAAGCATAGCAATGTGAATTGCAGCCTACAGCTTAGGAAAGTGAGAAATATAACTTTCCTTTTCTTATCACACTTATTTCTATTTTAGCCCTCATCTGACAGGGCAGCAGCAGACTCATCTCATGAGTGAAAACATTCTCTTCCTGAAATTTGTCTATTGCTGAGGGTAGTCGAGGCAGCAAGGCCACTGAGGCCCTAGAGCTCCCTCCTCCGGGGTCCAGCATCTGTCTGGTGTCACTGTGGGTCCCCTTCTCCCTGGAGTTGCAGGCAAAGACCAGGGCACTGGGGTGCTTGGTCCTTTCAGACTTCTCAGGATTCAGGGCAGAGGGCCCTGCTGACGGGACCCGCTGATGTACCCTAGAAAACAATGCTACCGCAGTGAGCTTTCTGTGAAATCTGTCAGAAGTTCCATTATTTCCTGTGGTAGATTCAGAAAATGGAATTACCAAGTCAAAGGGTTAAGGCTCTTGATACACATATCAAGTTGCTCTCCGGAGAACGCCAACCTAAAGCTGTGACTGCAGCTGCCTACAGAAGCCTAGCAGGCATGATCATTCATGGCGGCCTTTCTTCAGCTCCTCCAAGACATTCCACGAAGACGTGATTTTTGTCTGTTCACCTACAGAGTTCCATTTCCTTCAGTGAGAAGGTCAACTGTTATTGAGAACTCATTAAATGCAAAGCATGTATCATTGGAAAAACTCCAAGCCTCAGTTTTTCATCTTCAAAAGAGGTATTAGGTTGATGCACTTACTTACTTGAGGCTTTTGCCATTACTTTTGATGGCAAAAACTGCAATTACTTTTGCACCAGAATTACTTTTGTGACTGCCCCGCCTGCCCACATCACGCTCACAGGAGCGTTCAGGACAGGGCATGTTCTAACTGATGAGATGAACCTGCTGTTGCCCTGTTGGATGAGGGCTAAAGTAAAACAGATCCGGACTCCCCTGCAAAAATGAGGGCAGAGGCCACTGGCAGGGACACAGACAACCGCTGATTCTCTCTACAAAACTTGGTCACTGGGAAAGTTGGGGGCTATGGAAACCCCACAGAATATTTATGCAGAGCATTCTTGAAGTCCACCTAATCTGAGCCTTCCTGTTACAGAAGAGGAAACAGCAGAGCGACAAGGTGACCACGAGTTGGGGTGCAGCCTGGCCTGGACCACTCTCCTCATCGAGGCTTGGATTCTTCCCTCACAGCGGCTTGACCTCAGCCTCCAGAAGCGCTGTGCTCCCTATTGCCAGTCCTCAGACACGGGCCCTGGGTTGCCATATTCACCCCCTCATCCCAGGGGCCACACTGCTCAGGCCACCTAGACCTGCTCCTAGGACAGCTGGCCCTCATCCCTGCCCCAGGACAGACAGGAGCTCAGCAGAAAGGCCACCAGGCTCTGCAGAACTTCTCTCTGCACTGGGCTCAAGTGGCCGTACCAGGCAAGAGCAGGACCCTCTCTGTCTTCGTGACTCTCACGCCATTGAAACTTCTTTCCATTTAGAAACATTAGCTGATGGAACCCATTTGGTCCATTTTAAAGACTGCTGATTGGTGCATTTTACAAACCTCTGGCTAGCTACAGAGCACTGATTGGTGCGTTTTTGCAGAGTGCTGATTGGTGCATTTTACAAACCTCTTTCTAGCTACAGAGTGCTGACTGGTGCATTTTACAATTCTCTTGTAAGAGAAAAGTTCTCCAAGTCCCCACTTGACCCAGGAAGTCCAGCTGGCTTCCCTTCTCACAGTGGCTGGGGTTACAGGTGTGCGCCACCATGCCCAGCTAATTTTTGTATTTTTAGTAGAGATGGGGTTTCACCACGTTGTCTTGGCTGGTCCCAAGCTCCTGGCCTCATGCAGCCCACCCACCTTGGCCTCTCAGAATGCTGGGATTACAGGCGTGAGCCACTGCACCTGACCTGCATTTGCACACTTTAGAGGTGACTGTTCTGGGTGACAAATCATTCCCCAGGGACCACAGCATCAGTTTGACATGCAAAATGGGGAAATGGAGCTTAGCCCGTTTAATCGACATTTGCTCACAAGTTGCCTGTTTCACCAGGATGACTGCATGAAGGAACACGGAGTTAGGAGGTTGCTGGGTTAGATCAGCTAATGCTTCTAAATGGAAAGGAGTTTCAATGGGGTGAGAGTCATGGGGTGGCGACATGGACTAAACTAAGCCCTTCCTGGGGGCAAACTAAGCCCCTCCTGGGGGCCAGGTTAACCGGGAATGTTTGTCAGTGACAGCACATCTACGACCATGGCCAGGATGGAGGCCCCACAGGGAGAGTGGGGAGAACGGAGGCCCCACAGGGAGAGTGGGGAGAGAACGGAGGCCCACAGGGAGGAGTGGGGAGGCGCGGAGGCCCACAGGAGTGGGAGGCGGAGGCCCCACACAGGAGGTGGGGAGAACGGAGGCCCACAGGGAGAATATGAGAGAACGGAGGCCCCACAGGGGAGAGTGGGAGAGCGAGGCCCACGCGGGGAGTGGGAGGAGGCCCCACAGGGAGAGTGGGAGACGGAGGCCCCACAGGAGGAGTGGGGAGAGCAGTGGCGAGCATGAAGGCTGACCTCAGCACTGGATGAGCTGTGGCTCCTTTTTGCTGGGAGGAAAACACAAGCAAGGTAAGTAACCTAAATTATATGTCGAGAGTGGGGAGAACGGAGGCCCCACAGGGAGAGTGGGGAGAACGGACGTGGCGAGGCATGAAGGCTGACCTCAGAAACGCACTGGATGAGCTGTGGCTCCTTTTGCTGGGAAAGAAAACACAAGCAAGGTAAGTAACCTAAATTATATGTCTAGCCCTACAAATGACCTAAGGCAGACAATTCTACCTGTTATGACTCAGATCCTCTCTCTACAAAATGGGAGAAATAATATTGCACTAAGTAACTTCCTAGAGATGCTAGCAGAACTTCCAGAGAGATTTATTTCTCAACCCATAAACTAATGTTGGTTACACCCAACATACAGTTCTCTAATTCCTTATTTCTTGTGTCCCAGGATCACAGGAAAAAAGCCTTCTGACATAAAACACAGAAATTGCACAGAGCTACCCAAGTTCATTCTAAAATTAAGTTTCGCCTGATTCAAGAACCCTTCTTGGTTATAGGTTCAAAAAATGAAAGGACTTAAAGATGACTCAGTCCATCAATGCAGGTGTCTAGAGTGGAACCTCCACCCACGGGGCCAGTTCTCAGGTGGACAGCATTATTCCCTCGGGGTCTCGTCCGTGGAGGCTGACCACAGCCCAGAGTCCTCCTCCACCAGCCATGCCAACTGACTGCAGCTGGCATTTGAGTGGAACCCTACTGGCTGTCCCTGACCCGGTCCAACCCTTTCATTTATAGACAAACAACCAGAAGCCCACAGAGTTTCAATGCTGAAACAGGGATTGTACAGCTAGTAGGAGGCCACTGATAGAATCTAGACCTTATGACTTCCAGCTTCATATCCATATCCCAACATAGTAAGATTCCATCTCCACAAAAGGAATTTTAAAAGAATCAGCCAGGCGTGGCAGCATGCTCCCGTTACTAGTTACTTGGGAAGCTGAGGCAGGAGGATCGCTTGAGCCCAGGAGGTCAAGGCTGCAGTGAGCTCTGATCATGGCACTGCACTCCAGCCTGCATGACAAAGCAAGTCCTCGTCTCATAAACAAATAAATATAAAGCTAACGAGACCCAGCTGTACTAAGTTACTCATTTTATTTATTTAGTCAATAAATATTGTTGAGTACCTACTGTGTACCTGACATTATGCCCAGATAAATGACTGCCCCTACTTCACCCAGCTAGAAAGGGATTTCATAAAACATAGGCCTTTTTCCCTCTGCAGGAGCTGGAGCAAAATTCAAGTATAAGTAAATATATATAAGTATAATATATAAAAATAAGAATTTTTAAAATATATAGTATAAATATAATTTGTGTATATATATTATATTATTATAAAAATATGTATATATATAAAATTATGGTATCACTTGGTCCGAGGACTTAGAAATATCTCCGAAAAAGAAGTTGACAAAGTTAATAATAATAGCGAGTGATGCTATCCACCAGGAGCAGACTCGTTTGTGTATTATCTTCAGTTTCCTCTTTGCTCTTCCCCGGGCATTGTGCTGTAGGAACCTATAGTACAACATGGCTATGTAATTTCAATGGGAAAACCATCACGGAAGGAAGTTGAGCACATTGCTCCAAATCTTATCGAGGTTTTGGATAGAAGAAAAGATCTAATTATCATAGCTTTTGGTTGCATTTAAATTATCAACCAGAAATAATCCACTGAAGGTCTCCACATTCTCTTCCCCCGGTTGTGTTACAGGGATAACAGCACCAGGCTGCGGCTGGGAAGACCGGGCGTCTGGTTTGCTACTCCCCAGGCAGCTTGTAACACCAGATGAATCGCTCCAATATCGCTGAGTCTCTCTCCTTGTTTTAAAATGCGAATGACTATGTGCCCTGCCTGCCTGGCAAGGCTGTTATTAGGATTAATAATAATAATAACTCCAAGGCTATTGTGCTTTGCAACGTTTGCAACACTCTTTCACAACAACCCGTTTATAATTACCCCAATTAGAGATGAGAACCCATGGCTCAGAGGAGTGACGCAACCTGCTGGAGGTATCCAGCCAGAGAGCGCCGGCGTGGGGCAGAGCCTCCCCCTGCACGGGGCGTTCCCTCCGTTTGCTGGGGCTACGCTGGCTGCCGAGGCGGGTTGTGGGTGGCTCCCGTGCCTTCTGCAGATGCCCGGGTAGGGGTCATGGGCGCACAGGGCTGCTCTCACTCTCTAGGCAACTCCCGGGAGCTTGGAAATATCTGAGTGGCTTTGGCAGGTTTTCTGGGTGCAGAAATTAGGACAGGATGTTTTCAGTGAGAGGTCTCTGCTGCTGTCACAGTGTTGGCCTCTGCTCTGACCGCCTTACTTCTCTACTGTGTTGGTCACTGTCTCCTGTGTGTGCCCTTCATTGTTTTCCTATGAAAGCACAGCCCTGACACACACACACACACACACACACAAGTGCTACCATCTCCCGGACCCTCTGGGTGTCTGCATCCCGAGCAGTGACTCCATGCTTGCCTGGACGCTCCTCTCCTGTGTGTACAGAAGTCCCGGTGCACACATCACCTCCTGGGGGCTGGAGGGCAGGTGGTTGCCACAGCCGCCCACAGGGCATCTTCTCCGTGCTCGGCTCCATCAGCGGCAGCACAACCCTGAATGCAGCGGCTTGCAGACTTCTAAACATATGTTTATGTGAACGTAAAACAAAAAGCAGTACTCACCCTTATTGCTTGTGGTGTACTTTGAGATTTCCTGGCTGATTCTATTTCACGTAAATGAAATGCTGGTTGCAACCTAATACTTTGATTATTTGACCCTCCAGTGAGTGAAGGCCCACAGCTTGGGAAATGCTATGAAGTGGCATTTTTCAAAGAGTGATCTCACCTTCTGCCCACCATAGGCAAATCCCCGCTGTCCAGGAAGGGAGACTTACCGTGTTCATACATCCCAGGCCATTCTCTCCACGTCTTCCTTTCTCCCTGCCACCAAGCCCAGACTCCTACAATCCCCCTCCCCCAAGTGTGGTCCTGTGTACCTCATCTTCCACTGGCCCAGAATGGTTTTCTGAAAATAGAAACCTGCCCCTTTCACATCTTTCTTAAAATCCTTCCATGACCGACTTCCCCAAGTGCCATCACCTCAGGGAGGAAGTCTGGGCTCTCGAGACGGCCGAGGCCCTCTGTGCCTACAGTCTGACCTCCCCGCCATTTCTACACCAACACCGTCCCCACCCACGCTGTCCCCTTTGCATCCTGCCTGCACACAGTGCTATAGGCCCTCCACAGTGCGTGCCACCTCCTGTCCCTCTGACTCTGTTCCTGGGGCTGTCTCTGTTCTTCCCCAGGCTGGCACTGACCCAGTGCGGCACTTAGGCAGG